ACAGCCAGCCTTGTCCTTCCTGGCTCTCAGAAGTTACAGGTTGACAGCCAGCCTTGTCCTTCCTGGCTCTCAGAAGTTACAGGTTGACATGAGGTTAGATTATATTTATATCAAGTTTTTTGTTATTTCAGCTATCTCTGACTCTTTGGGACCCCATTTGCGGTTTTCTTGGCAGAGATCCTGGAGTGGTTTACCATTTCCTTCTCCAGCTCATTTTATAGGTGAGAAACTGAGGCAAACAGGGTTGAGTGACTTGCCCAGGGTCACACAGCTTGGAAGAGTCTGGGGCCAGATTTGAACTCAGGAAGATGAATCTTGCTGATTCAAGGCCCAGTGCTTTATCCACTGTGCCACCTAGCTGCCCTTCTACAGCCATATCTATATCTCTGTATCATTAGCTGAAACTGTAAGAACTTCAAACATCTGTGGTGAGGCTCAGAGTTAAAGTGGCTTGCCCCAGCTGGGCCATCAGATGATACAGGCAGGAAGTTGGAAGGGTGGTCGGTGTTCTGGGCTCAAGGACCCAGCATTTCTGTAGGTGGCTGGCCAGGCTATGCTGCTTGCTATGTAGATGACCTTGGATCAGCCTAGATACGGTCTTCTGGGCCCCAGCTCCTCCATCTGTAAAATGAGGCAGGGTGTACTGTAGTTCTTAAGCCCCTCCCCCCTGGCTCTGACATCCTGCAGCCCAGCCCTCCCATAGACCTGATGTTGGGCCCTGGTACCTCTCCCCTGAACAGGCCCCCGGGCCTTCCTCCACTACCCCCAGCCCCAGTCTCCCAGGTTCATTATCGCTGTCCTGCCAATTTCAAGATCACTTTACAATGTAGGAGCACAGCACTGACTTCCTGGAGTGGCCGCTGGGGGCATGAGGAAGGCCCCCTTCACCTGTATGCATTGCTTCACTCCTCAGGGGGCCTGGCCGCCCATCAGCATGGTCATGGCCCCTATCCCCTGCCCAGGGGATGGTGAGACCTCTGGGCATTCAGCCAAGCCCAGCACTGCAGGGTGGCCTACCAGTCTACTCTGGCCACCAGCCCAGATCCTGTTCTTTTTGCCAGCACCGACTGTAGGGAGAAGTGACATGATATCATAGAATGCTTATATAGCGTTGTATTAGCCATGCGTGCTGGAAAGGCCATCCCACCAGGTGAGGAAGGAGAGAATGCCAAGTTAGCACTAGGGGCAAGAGGAAATCATCCCAGAATTCAGCCTAGCCATTCAGTCTGCTCAAGGCCCTGTCACCCCCATCCCCCCAAGCCTCGAAGACTTGGTCTCTTCGAACACCCCGCTCAGGCCTTTTCTGGCACCCAGACTCCCTTGTAGCTAGATGCGCTCGGTCACTTTATATTTATGCTGTCTCTATTTTTATATGTACGTGGTACCTCTCCCTGTGGACGGGGATAATCTCATTCTTTGTACTTGCCTCCCCGTGCGTGGCACACAGGAGGCTGTTAATAAATACTTGGGACTGGGAAAGTCCTTCCTGCTTTCTCAAGATCAGGTTCCCCTTCAGTAAAATTTTGCTGTTATTGTTTTTCAGTCGTGTCTGACTCTTCATGACCCCATCTGAGGTTTTCTTGGCAAAGATACTGGAGTGGTTTGCCATTTCCTTCTCCAGCTCATTGTACAGATGAGGAAACTGAGGCAAACAGGGTTGAGTGACTTGCTCAGAGTCACATAGCTACTAAGTGTCTGAGGCTGAATTTGAACTCAGGTCTTCCTAACTCTAGGTCTGGTGTTCTATGCACTGCAACCCTCCAGCTGCCCTTCAGGGCTCTACTTTGTGGTGTTATGATGAAAATGTTCTGTAAACTTTTAAATGTTATACAGAGGGGAGATGTTATTAATATTTGAGACAGAGAGAATGAACTGCCCAACACTGAGGGTCTTCTAGGTGAAGCTAGATGTCCACTTGTTGGGAATGATGTCGACGGGATTCCTGTTCATGTACAGGGTGGCCTAGACGCCCTCTTTAGGCTCAGATTCTGGAGAGCAAGAGAAGACTAAAAGGATGGCTGGAGGGATGGATGAATGATAGATGCGTGATACAGATGGAGGTAGATACATGGATGGAGGGATGGACGAATGATAGATGCGTGATACAGATGGACAGATGGAAGTGGATGGTGGATGGATGGATGGATGGTGTTTGTCTTCCATTTTGAAGAGGACCAGTAGTGTCATGGGGTCATGTCTTGACCTGTGTGTGAATTGGAGTGAGGCAGAGCTGCAGTTGTCAGCCTCACTGTCTCTTCCAGAGTCACTCAAGTCTAGTGACAGGACAAAAGTCAGGAACACTGGGGATGGCTCAAGATGCAGTGGATGACCCTGGCACCCTCCACTGGGGGAAGTCTTCCCCTACTCGGGGTGGACAACCCCCTGATTCACTAACTGCTTTGAGGCCCATAGGTTACCCTCCGCCTGGTTTAGCCCGTCTGTCCAGATGGTTTTACCGGGGGGGGGTGGCTGGTGCCCATGCTTCTTGGAGCCACAGGGGAGGGTTGGCTGACAGGTGGACACCAGGTGGAGCAGTAGCGCTCACACCAGCAGAGCTAGTCTTCCTGGAACACCCCATATGCCCAGATGGATAGATGGATGTCTGATAGATGTAACAGATGTTGGGCCGCTAGGTGGTGCCATAGTGCTCAGCACTGGGCCTGGAGTCAGGAAAACTTCCTCAGTTCAAATTCAGCCTCAGACACTTACTAGCTGGGTGACCCTGGGCAAGTCATTTCACTCTGTTTGCCTCAGTTTCCTCCTCTGTAAAATGAGCTGGAGAAGGAAATGGCAAACCACTCCAGTATCTCTACCAAGAAAACCCCAAATGGGTCACGAAGAGTCTGGGAAAACTGAAATGATGGAACACAACCACAAATGTCACAGATGAAGGGTCTGTGACAGATGGTGGATAGAGAGATATATGGATGGGTGGATAGAGAACGCTTCCACTGTACCACCTAGCTGCCCCTGGGATTTCTCTGAGGTGTCCACCATGCTGCTTCTTCCCTCCCCCAACACCCTATTCAGCCTCCTTTAGCGTACTGTCTCTCTGCATTAGATGGCAAGCTCCTTGAAGGCAGGGACTCTTTCTTTTTCATTTTCTATCTCTTTGCACAGGGCTTAGCACATAGTAGGTGTTTTAATAGGTTGACTGGCCATTGGTTATTTGTTCTAAGGGGGAAGACCACAAATAAAAGAGAGCCGAAGAGCCCGGAGGGGTGAGGTCGGGCCTACCGCCTTGTAATTGTATTATCTGCCCTGTGTATGGGGTCCTCTCCAACCAGGAGCTCCCCAAGGCTTAAGATGAGGTCTCTCCCATCAGACCAGGAGCTCAGGCAGGGTGAAACCTAGGTCTCC